TAGTTGATTTTGCTTATTTTTCTCGCTAGATGGCAGCGTCAACGACCAAGTTCTCGAGCATTATTTATTCATAATTTGCACTACTTTTTTCGTTTTATATTTTTTGACCAAATGAATTATTGCAAAAATGAAAGATAAATTAAGAACTATCTTTTTGAACTAAAAACGGGTGTTCCGGTTAAATCTGTTGTTTGACAGTTCAAGTGTTCAAGAACTAGGTATCCAATAATGTTGATCCAATCGGTTTATACCCTGTGCTCGGGCGTAGTTGGGACGATTTTCGAACATTTAATTTTCTTCTCACGTTGAAGTTAGATTTATTCAGGAATCACAAATTTTCATATTTATTTTGCTTGTGTCTGTATTTTAAGTAGTTCTGTTATTATTTAGAAAGGAAGTGCTCCGGACACCAGGGCCGTGGCGCCATCTACTAGCAGTGAGTTGTAGGAGTGACATTTTATCATTTTGACATTTAATAAATAAAAAATTGAGGTGGGTTCTGATAGCCATTTAATTTAATTCAGGATTTAATATAATTTGATTCAAAAAGTCCGTCATATGGTAAACTTTTCAAATTAATGTTGTATGCCATTCGGCCCAGGAGGTCTTTTTGTGGTCCGCTACGCGTCGGCCTTCAAACGTCGAGCTCAGCACAAAAAGACGCACTTCTTAGCCTAATGACATAAATAATTATTCTTTGTAATTTTAGAATCTAGGTAGGTGACATAGTATGTACAGGGTGTTTTTTTATATATTGACACCTCACCTACAGCCTTCACCTTTACAGGTAGAAGAAAGGTGTAAATAAAAAAGTTGTACCTACAGTTTTGGCTAAATTTTCAGAATCCTTGGTCAGATACCTAAATTGAATATCAGAAATGTGAAATGTTGCATGCTTTCGGCTTTTTTCAAATGGGATGACCTATATTTTGTTCTATATTTTTGAAGAGCACAGTTTCTTGATTCAAAAATATATAGTTTGTCTATATTTGGTTGAGCCGTCTCCAACATATTTGGTACTTAACATTTTAAAAATACTATCAGAGAAACCAACAGCTTTCACCTGTACAGGTAGAATGGTTCACAAAATCAGAAGTAGGATAGTATTTCTACAATTTTTGGAGCTAAATATATAAGAGACTGCTCCACCAAATATAAACAAACTATATATTTTTGGAATTGGAGCATTATGCTCTTCAAAGAATATAGAACTAAATATAGGGCATCCCATTCGAAAAAAGCTGGGAGCATGCACATGCACATTTCACATTTTCGACATTCAATTTTTGTTTCTGACCATGGATTTTAAAAATTTAGCCAAAACTGTACAACTTCTGTATTTACATCTTTCTTCTAGCTGTAAAGGTAAAGGTAGGTGGGCACTTGTGGGCACTTGTGGAGAAGTTTTGTTCTGAAATGATTCCACTGCATTTTGATAAGTATAAGTACCTACGTATGGGACCACTATAATGCCTTCAGTTTTTTTGACATTTCACCAGATGCATCAGGAAAAGAAAAGATATACAATACCTTTGCAAACTTTTGGACGATTCATTCATGCGGTTATCGTGAAAAGTAGCGATACAGACAGGCCAAGCCACTTTCAATATAGTATAAAGCGTCTCCCACTTCGATAATGAATTCCGGAACGGACTGACAGCTGAAAATTATTGTAGCACGAACTTTATTGAAATAAATGAGTTCAGGGCCTACATTTTTAGGCTTTTACATACAATATTGTTCAAATTTAACTCAGCTAAAAAAAAAAAATAGAGAAATCGCACAGTAAGTAACAGAGATTTTCGAGTTAAAGATATTTTTCTTCGCATTTCCAGCATAAAATATCCTACCTACTTCTTAGTTTTGCGATATCTCCGGTCCGCAAATAAAATTCCTGTTTTATTTCCAGGGGTGCCCGCCCAATAAAATGAGATTTGAACGGAAAAGGAAAAGTATTTCATTATCCTACGAAATTAGATGGTATCGTTGATTATGGTATGTAATAAGATTTTTTGGTTGCTCAATCAAATGAATTCGGATTGTTTTATCATAGAATCGTGGAAGGTTATTCGCTAAGGAAACTGAAAGTTTATTGGATTTAGGTCCGGTTTAGTCATCTTCTGATAAACTGTCAGGTACTTAATGCAATTTAGGGAAAAAATGTATATACTTATTGGTCGACCAGTAGTCGTTGAGCAATAGGAGTAAAGAATTGCAAGTTTTTCTTGTAGAAAGTAACCAGTAACATTATAGAAAAATGAATAAACCGTGCCTAAATAATGTTAAATGGGGCGTCGTCAAAAGTTGAAGAAAAAAATAACAGCCGGCCAAGTCAGGGAGAGGCCGTTGGTAATTTGCCAGTTAGTCTATTGATGAAATTTATTTAAATCCGCATAGGAGAAATGGAAGATCAAATAAACCATGTTCTAGCTTTAGTAAAACTTGCAGAAGAGACGCAAGAAAAAAAATAAAAACAAAATGGGCTACACATTTTTTGCCAGGAACAAGAAGACCAAAGACAGAAAGAATAAAAAAAAAGAGGAAAAAGATCGAAGACAAAAAGACCAGATCGCAGAAATAGACCATATCGCAGGATTATTCCAGAATATCCGAACAGAAATCGAAACTATAGAGGAGACCGGTCTCAGAAGGCGAGATCGGGAAGCTGCGTGAAGAATTTGAGAAAACTGAAGAAAAATATAAGCAAAGTAGTGACGCGAGAAGACCAGTAACGAAAAAAGCAGCAAAATGGATGTCAGAGAGCTCCCACGTACGCCACCTATAAACGATATTCCGAAATTTTGCAATGCTGTTATAGGCGCTTTAGAGCTAAGGTAAGGAAACGTATCTAAGGCATCAGAGTATCAGAGCCAGTTGAAGGAGGCCCATTGGAAACGCTGCAGGAAGTGAAATCAAGAGAATAATCCCTTTGCAACATTCACAAGCTTCCGTTTCCGAAGACTTCGTTGAACAAAAAGATGTCCAATACTGCACCGATGGAGTAGGAGATACATACCTTCGGCAAGAGCTAGGAATGGGTATGCAGAACACCCTAGCCGAGGGGTAAACCGCAAGGGAAATCTGGTGTGAAAATTTAGAAATCGAAAAGAAATGCAACGAAATCTGAGACAATCATAAGAATTTATAAGGAAATCTTGGGGGAAATCTTAAGGAAATCATAGAAAATCTTGAGGAAATCAGTCAATCTATCTTTAACTATTTCACACTTATATTTAGTTTTTTTTGGTACTTGCATTTCTCCTCGATTTCTTTTTAACATTTGTCGATACTTTGCCTCATCTATGCTCTTTAACTAGGAGAGCTAATTAGAACCGAATTTTTCCGACGAACTACTTCCATGATGTCATGAACACAAACGCTTTCGTGAGAAACTCGTGATGTCATATTGAACGTGGTTCGCCGGAAGCATGGACGCAGCTTGTATCCAGCGCTCAAACTCATGACGTCACAAGACGGTTCGTCTTTGGATGAACTACATTCATCGCGAAAATTCGGTTCTGGTTAGGCCAGTGAGTTGGACGCAGCTTCTATCCAGCGTTCAAACTTATGACGTCACAAGACGAACTATGGTTCGCCCTTGGCAGAACTATTGATGAACTACATTCGCCGCGAAAATTCGGTTAAACTGATTGCTTTTACTTTATCTGATTGCGTTCACTTGCGGCTTCTTCTTTCGTCTCCGATCAGTTACCCCACTCCACCTTCTAAATTGAATAAAGTGAACGGATGTTTGCTGTCCCCTTTTCCCTCAAACACAACCTCGAATGGCTGATCATTTCGTTCATTCACGAAGAATGTAGGTCACCAGTGGGTCACTTCACAATAATTGACACACACACGTCATAATGGAAGAGTGTGCTTTCGCGAATTTTCAAACTCATGACGTCACAAAAGGAACCAAATTTGTCCTTAGATGAACTACATTCGTCGCGAAAATTCGGTTTAATTTTATGTGGTGCTTCTTTCTTTTACGATTTGGTTGTTCCAAGAAAAGGGTCTCTCTTGAAAAATTTAATTTTTGTCTTCGCCCTCAAGGGGATTTTGGACCTAATTTTCTCAGTTATTGAATTTATGGTACATTGAGTTGCCTTACGTTGCGCCACTATATTTCCAATGTAATTTCTGATTATAGAATATACTATTGGGCGAATACAGGCAAATTATTGTTTTTTTTTTTTTTTTTTTTTTCAACAAGAGACTAGTAGAATGCGCCTATCGTCTGCACTTTTGAGCTAACGTTTATTGGTACCAAATCTGCTACCGCTGTCGAAGTTAGGGAAAGGATTAACCCACAAAATAAAGTCGCCAGAAAATTGTTCGTGTATCAGTATTAGCGTGTATTTGTTTGAGAACTCGAATTTGACCTACCCTATCAAGCAAAATAACAAATTTGAATAATTTTGCTCAATAACTTACTCTGGTCGGTCTCTAATTATAATACTTTTCATCAGTACAAAAATACAACAAAAGTATTATTTGAATATCCTGGTATAGAAATTGGTACATTAAGGCCATTGGCTTACTTAAATGATACGATTTGACTAAATAAAAGAACTATAACATTTTTGCCTGTAATAATGTGGTAGTCGGTCTGGGATGACCCACTATACTTTATGCGTGTCGCTCGATTGAATAGTTGAGAAACTATTTTTCTGTTTTTTTATTTAAAATAAAAATATTTCAAAACCCTTGTTTTCCTGAAAATTTCATCCAGCTCAGTGGATAAACTGTCACAAACGAAAGAAAAAAAAATCGGATTTCATAATCGTCACGCCGAAATTCATCCAATACATCCGATACCGCAGGATATTTTCCATCCTATTTTACAATAATTGCCGTATTATATTCAAGTTAGTTCCCGCTCCGTATCCCAGGACAACGCCGGGGTCGAGCTGCGCACGATTTTCCGGGCGTCCCGCCACTTTTCGCGGCTTTCCCAGATGTTTCTCAGCGCGTGCTAAATATTTCGTCTCCGGGAAGCGTTTGAACTATACGCGGGCCTTCTTCACTCTCCCTTTTATCCCTCATATTCTATAACGCAAAGTCGCTCACGGGAAATCCGACGTCTCGTTTTTCGCGTCGCCTTTTCTTGCACTCGAATTGACCTTCCTTTTCAATGTGATTTTCTATTGTCGGTTTTGGCGATACTTCTGGGTGTTTCAAAAGATGTAAGTACTGTTTATTTTTTAATTGACTTTTTATCATGTGAAAATGGGAACGATGTTATTTGCCATCATTAATGTTTCAACGACGTTTCTAATACTAGAAAAAATGACTGAAGACAAAAAACAATATGAAATGGTTTGTAGAATCATATCAACGTATCAGAAATGTAATACTCTTATAGTTGGAAAATATAAAGTCAAATACATAAATTTGTTTTTTCATGTATTTTGCTCTACGCAATTCTATTGTTTAGCATTTTCTCTATTCCATTATACTTCGAAAGAATGTAGCTGAGAACAGCACATGACAGATAAATAAGTAAAATAAGTATGGGACAATATGATATCCTTATCCTATATCCAGCATTGGATGAATCAAAGCTGAAAAAAAAAAAAACTTAATTTTTGTCTTGAGGCGAACCAAAAAAATTCTGGCTTATACCGCTAATGCTGAAACTCCAGTTTTATTACATATTCAGATGCCCATTTGAAAAAGAAGGAGAGTGATAAATCATTTTTAAAGGATGTATTTTATAGTACGAAACAATCCATATAACCACATAATTTTGATTCAATACCAGCTGAAATTATATGAATGAATGAATGAATTGTTCCATCCAATATGAATAAAAGTTCAAGCAAAACCTCTTGCTCCAGTACAGATATATATCTACTACATATTTTTGTAAATTATTTCGGAATATTCTTATTTCCTTTTTTTTTGTTTCTTTGTCTATTCTCTTCGTTAGCCGGATCTTCATGCTGTTTGGCTTTCTTTGTCGCAGGCTTCTGGGATTTTTCTAATACATCCGACCTGTGATGCACTTCCTGTGGCAGAAGTCCTCGCGTCATGCGTTTGATTGTTGTTGTTAGCGGATTTGTATTTTCGCATCAGCTAGTATGTATGAATGTGTAGCAAAACGCCCCAAGTACTCTATGTAATTAGTTAGATGGTAAATGGCGAGCGGTATATTGATGGTGTTTATTTACTTGGAGCTGCTACCTAAAATCTGTGGAAGGGTCTATTTGCAAGAGAGAGAAACAAACTATTGAGGTGTACTAAATTATATTTTCTTATACATAAAACCAAAATTTTTAATCAGCCAAATACCTTCCATTTCTGACAGCCTCATCTATTTCTATAAATTCAATTACTCCATATCCGTTCTAAAATTGTTATTATTAGGGACCACTGAAATATCCCTACTAAGAAGAAATGCCTTATTCTTACTATTCCTAATAACTTATAGGTTAACTCATTTCAACACTTCCGATTCATTTTTAATAAACTACCTTCCACCTATTTATATAAATTCTTTAAAATTACTAAGTCCTTTACTGACTGCTTATGAAAAACCCAAAATATTTACCTATTTATTTATTAATATTACAGTATTACTAACTTATTCTTATAAAGCCTTACAATAAATTTCTACATGAAATTTAAAAACCCTAACTCAAAATTCATTTCATAAACAATAATTTCCTTTAACAACTTTCCAATATTTTAAGACAATTCTATTTCATGAACATCAAGTTTCTTTTCAAAATTACCTATCCCATTTAATAGTTTATTTAATCAGAACAAATTCTATTATAAGTTTCCTTCAACAACTTTCCAAGATTTTTAAGACAACAATTCCATTTCATGAACATCAAGTTTCTTTTCAAAATTTCCTATTCCCTTTAATTAGAACCATTACTATTTTTCGCCATCCTGGCTAACATACAAAATTATTTAAATTCTTATTAGTTCGTTACTATAGCCCTTAAACTTCAATTGGACAATCCAATTCAAAATTCTTTAATAATCCCTACTCAAATGGATAAGTACTTATTATGTTATGTTAAAGTTCCAAGTTAATTATAAAGTCAAAAGTTTTTCTAGTGAAAATCACTCAAGTTTTTAGGCCTTAAAAGTCATTATTAATTCACTTCTTATCATTTAGAATCATTGATAAAAGTCAGAAAGTTTTACTAGTCAAAATCACTCAAGTTATTAGGCATTAAAATTCAAAGTTTAATCACACAAAGTCATGTTCATCATTTATATTCAAAATAAATCTTGTCACTATAGAGTACTTACATTTTGTCCATAAAACACAAAACTAATCTAAATTAATTCTTTTGATTACTTAATTTAATTCACGCACATAATTGTTGAACGAATTTCAAATGTTATTTCTTTCACGATTTTTCGTACTTTTACTGAGTTAAATCGAACGCGCTTTTCCGAGGCAGCTTCGCGAATTTTACTCTGACTCATTGGAACTGTAACTTTAACACAAACTGGACTGGATTGCTAACAACTGGCAACTCAACTGACAACTACTTCTAAAACCGCGGTATTTATATTAAATCGATCCCCCCGCAAAGTATTATTAATTATCCCCCAAATCGTCAATAGGCGGTCGTTTGCCTAGCAATCCGAATTCCATTGGCCGACCTAAATATTATTAAAAATAATGATGCAATTTCCTTGACATTTTTGTCATTCTTAGTTTAAAAGAATCGAATAATTATGTCGCAATATCCTAATTTATCGAGGTCAATATATCTTTTTTTTGGTTCAAGAATGCCATAAATCATTTATAATCACTTGGCCTCGCTCTTTTAAGTTCATTGATTTAGGAGATGACACAGGCTTGATGACGAAACACCTAATATAATATTAAACGTTAATTTGTTCCCTTTTCAATTTATTGATAATGATTTGGAGATACCGGAAATTCTGTTTTTGATTACTTGACATTTATTAAATTTTTACAGTAAAGACATTGTGATTTATGGGTCTATTTTCTCGGAATATTACAAATGTATATAGGTATGTAAGTATGTATGTTTTGGAGGTGTCAGTTGCACTGCGACCAAGTTGATCTATTGTACCCCTTCTTAATTCTGCTACTAAGTTCGGGTTTCCTGCTCAAAGCAGCCCCACTAGTCCTAGGTCTTAGGAATTTTAGGATATCTAGCGGTTCAAGGGCTAGAATCTCTTCCAACTGTATAAGGGTACTTTCCAGATTCTTCATCCTTGAGCGAGTAACGGCATCGCAGTTCAGGTAGAAGATGAGGAGGTGTCTCTTCTCCGTCTTCACAGAATCTGTGGGTGCCATTTCTTCCAACCTCTGTAGGTGGTTCTCAAGTCTGCAATGTCCCGAGAGAAACCCGGTTAGAGTCTTGAGACTTTTCTTGCTAAGGTTGACAAGCAGTTCTGATTTTTTTTTGGTTGAAGTCGCCCAGTAGATCTTTCTCCCGTCGTAGTCCTTGCTGTTTTATCCATTGTTTGTTCCTTAGCAGGTTCTCCTTCTTTTTGAGGATTTATTGGAGGTGCGCAAAATTATTCTGGCCCAGTGAAGAGAGTAGACGCTCCGGTTCTTCTGAGTCTGTCTGCGCATTCGTTGCCCTCGACCCCTATGCGTCCAGGCACCTAGAGGAGAGTTATTTTGTTTTCTTTTCCCAGCTCATTGAGCTTTTGTAGACGTTCCCATAATATCTTAGAACTGATGACCGGGGAGCTCAATGCTTTGATAGCTGCTTGGCTGTCAGACATTATTACAGTCTCTCGTTCTCGATAACTTCTGTTCAGGTTGAACTGAACGCATCTTCTTATCGCATAAAGTTTTGCTTAAAATATGCTTGGTGATTTTCCCATTGGCTCCGATTATCTAGTCCGTGGCCCGAATACTCCGGCTCCAGTTCCCTCCGCATTTCTGGAACTGTCTCTGTACCATTTGATGCTGTTTGCTTTAAGGGATTGGATAGATTTTATTAACAATCACGTTTTTTGGTAGATCTATGAGGTGTGCAGAGTTTGGGAATGGAAAAGTTACGGCTGTAGTCATCAGTCTATCTTTGAAAAAATACAGTATAGTATCGTCTGGCGTCAGTTTGTTAGACAACGCGAAAGTATTATTTTTGAACTTTCCTTGCTTATTTATACAAAAACAACCAATTAGTTAGTATGAAATTTGCTAAAATTTAATGAAGCATAATTCGCGTGAGGCTAAATTCACCAAAATGTTGCACCGCCACGGATGCGGTGGATTCACTAATGCCAATGCCAAACCACAGCTTGCCAAATCCTGTTTAATTCAACTACACTGCGCTCTAAGGAATAACCAACCTATAGAGAAGCGACAATAGCAATATTTTCGCGCCAAATAGTTTGGCTGGGGGGAATGGGGGCTAACTGTCAATTAGGCACTAGCTGTCGTCACACACATAACTTCACTTTCGATGAGGGGACAAACAAATCGTTGGCAAAGGACTATTTATTCGCAAAAATCGCACCGCTAGGTCGCGCTGTATTTTTCCAAGATGGAATCTATAGTGGTAAACATATGAAACGGTATAAGCGCTTGTTTGAGTTGTTAGGAGTGTTTTGTGTTTCGTTAGTTTTTTTGAGTTTCTGGATTCTGGTGAGGTGGGAAGTCGCGTTTTGTTGTGTTTACCAGTTATTGATTAAACTATGCGAAAATGCGAAAAATTGTTGTTACTCTCAATGATTTATAGTAGACAGAAGTTAAGTAGACCTCCTATAAAAGTTAAAGCAACATAATACTTCGTGGCTTTGAAGGAGAAACAAATATCAGAAGTAGCTTCTTTGCAAACCTTATCGTTAACTTCTAAACCTCACGAATATAGAATTTTTTGTGGGATGAGAAGTTGGGAATGTAGGGATTTTCTAACTAGGAATTACCAGTTTTTCTAAACACCTTCTTTGATTTGCTGCTGGAAAGATATTAAATCAAATTTTTCATTACTTTGCATTCATATTTTGTTTGTAACAGGAGTAAAATCGATATCTGTGAAATGCAGACTACAAACGCGCATGTATTTAGTAACTAGCTTTTCAATTTTTGGAGCAGTTTTCATAAAAAGCACTCAGGAACTGAATGAATTTTCCATACATATCCGCATAAAGGATTGTGACGGTTCTTCTCATGAGCTCATAGCTCTAATCTTGGGAGTGTAATTCTTGTTCTGGTGGGCTCAACTTTAGA